AAACATGAAGTCCTTAACACGCTTTCTATTCAAAAGGTGTCTAGTCCCTTTACAATTAAGAAATGAAAATAAATCTTTATAATGTTCGTGCGTCCGAAGCGATTTTCTTTATTCATCTTCAACAGGAACGCTTAAACCCAAAATAAGAGCTTGAGATATGGTTGAGACAATTGTCTTGCGTTTTAATCTTCCTTTTGCTGTGTGGACGTTAAGCAACAAACAATCAATCAATCAATCTTGTGTTGTGTTTTAAGGTTGCGTTACACTTTTATAGTTTAATATTAAATCTTCTTTCACTTTATATTTCAGAGATTTTAGTTATGCCAGTTTGCTGACAACAGTCAGTTAACCAATATCATTAAACCTGTTGATATTTACTGCACTGTAGCATGTTGAAAAATCCTAAAATTAAAACAATTGTAGTGATTTATTACTTTTGAATTCAATTAAGGTATTAATAAGTCCTCTCGACATTTTCTTTACCAGATTGGCCATGTTAATAGGTTTTCCCTCGCAATAGAATAAAAATGTCATTGTTAAAATTACGGTTCAAACCAGAACTATATTAAGAGCACATCTATAATTCAAAATTTATTTATTTAGTTATAATTATATAATTAAATACTAATACAATAAATAACATGAAATGTCGATTACTTTTGTATAGTCTGCGATGTGTCGCTCTCCAAACGTCTCTCAAATTGAGAAAAAATATATACAAGTCCTATATATTATAATATGTTATATAATTTTTAACTATCCAAATGTTGTAGCAGATATTTCTTGGAAAAAAAAATTAAGCAGGTGTAATTAAATTTTATTAACCCTTTTGTAAAACATTAGAACAAAACTACTTACAAGTATATTTATCAATCGGACAGATTGTCTTTTAAATAGTGTGATTTCTTAGTGGCTACCTGATCAAATCTATGAATTTTAATATGTCAGAATAAGCATCACATGAATTTTATAATAAAGCGAATACTTTGAAAATAAAAATATAAACCCGAAATGCCCTGCCGGCAAAACAACCTTGCGAAACTTTTGATGTACTGTTTTTAAATTTATATTTTTTTTATTTATATCATGTTTACTTAGTGGACATCGCGAGGTTTTTTATTTATATCATGTTTACTTAGTGGACATGGCTAGTTTTTTTTTTTATTTATATCATGTTTACTTAGTGGACATGGCTAGTTTTTTTTTTTATTTATATCATGTTTACTTAATGGACATGGCTAGTTTTTTTTTATTTATATCATGTTTACTTAGTGGACATGGCTAGTTTTTTTTTATTTATATCATGTTTACTTAGTGGACATGGCTAGTTTTTTTTTATTTATATCATGTTTACTTAGTGGACATGGCTAGTTTTTTTTTTATTTATATCATGTTTACTTAGTGGACATGGCTAGTTTTTTTTTTTTATATGATGTTTACTTAGTGGACATGGTTAGTTTTTTTTTATTTATATCATGTTTACTTAGTGGACATGGCTAGTTTTTTTTTTTATTTATATCATGTTTACTTAGTGGACATGGCTAGTTTTTTTTTTATTTATATCATGTTTACTTAGTGGACATGGCTAGTTTTTTTATTTATATCATGTTTACTTAGTGGACATGGCTAGTTTTTTTATTTATATCATGTTTACTTAGTGGACATGGCTAGTTTTTTTTTATTTATATCATGTTTACTTAGTGGACATGGCTAGTTTTTTTATTTATATCATGTTTACTTAGTGGACATGGCTAGTTTTTTTTTTATTTATATCATGTTTACTTAGTGGACATGGCTAGTTTTTTTTTTATTTATATCATGTTTACTTAGTGGACATGGCTAGTTTTTTTATTTATATCATGTTTATTTAGTGGACATGGCTAGTTTTTTTATTTATATCATGTTTACTTAGTGGACATGGCTAGTTTTTTTTATTTATATCATGTTTACTTAGTGGACATGGCTAGTTTTTTTTTATGTATATCATGTTTACTTAGTGGACATGGCTAGTTTTTTTATTTATATCATGTTTACTTAGTGGACATGGCTAGTTTTTTTTTATTTATATCATGTTTACTTAGTGGACATGACGAGTTTTTTTTTATTTATATCATGTTTACTTAGTGGACATGGCTAGTTTTTTTTTTTATTTATATCACGTTTACTTAGTGGACATGGCTAGTTTTTTATTTATATCATGTTTACTTAGTGGACATGGCTAGTTGTTGTTTATTTATATCACGTTTACTTAGTGGACATGGCTAGTTTTTTTTATTTATATCACGTTTACTTAGTGGACATGACGAGTTTTTTTTATTTATATCATGTTTACTTAGTGAACATGGCTTGTTTTTTTTTTATTTATATCACGTTTACTTAGTGGACATGGCTAGTTTTTTATTTATATCATGTTTACTTAGTGGACATGGCTAGTTTTTTTTATTTATATCATGTTTATTTAGTGGACATGGCTAGTTTTTTAAAGTAAAATGCTGCTTCATTTGCCCACGATAAATTATTAGATCACTTAGGAAACCCAATAGATCTCAGAGAAAAAGTGAAACTTTATACACATTATAAGAACCTGACACTTGGTGATGCTAACTATGTGAATACCTTACGAGTAGTTAAACGGGTTGGGACAACACGCCAAATGGTTAATAGATCCCCAAATGAGCAAATATCCCTCAAATCTGTTAAGAAACTATTTTACCTTAATGCAAATTTAATACTTGAAATGTAAAAATAAGATGTGGTATGATTGCCAATGAGACAACTCTTCACCACAACCAAATGACGTAGAAGTTGATCAACAACTGTAGGTCACAGGACGGCCTTCAACAATGAGCAAAACCCATACCGCATAGTAAGCTTTAAAACGCCCCAGAAATGACACATATTCATGAAAATATAGCATATTTCCAAAAGATAAATAGACCTAACCTGATTTACTACGAAGTTAATAGCCAATGAAAACTTGAAGGAATTGACAATTTTCAAAGCAACTGCCTTTTTAAAAACCCCAAATAAAAATATGGTCCTTTGGAGGAAGTTGTTCTATTTTCTACAAATTTGTACCATTTTAAGCAAGAAGACTCGGCTAGGAAATTTTTGTTTTAGCACGATCAAATGATTACTCAATTGGGGATTGTTACTCATTCAGGGAATAATTCCCCATTTGATGGGTTGACCTGACTTATCTCTAACAATAAAGTGTCTACCTAATGGTGGCAGTATTATGTCATCATCTCTTATTCAACTACACGGTTTCTGCATACTTCGTCGATGATGATTCTCCAAATAAATTAGTCAAACATTACCTACTTGATCTTGTTAATATATTATTGCTACATTAATGATACACTTTGCACATACATTTTGTACACAACTTTTTAATTGAATTTAAAGAGTCCGTGACAATCGAGAATAAGGAAAGTTTGTTTTTGTAAAATTAATGCATAATGAAAAAGTTTGTTTAAGTAGCTTGCTACATATAGATGTTTTATTCTGCTTTGTATCGATCTGATGAGTTAAGCCCCTTTTCAACTGATTTTTATAGTTTGTTCTTATGTTGTGATGGAACACCACTGTCCCAGGTTAGGGGAGGGTTGAGCACTCACAAACATTTTAACTCGCCACATTCTTTATGGGCCTGTCCCTAGTCCGGAACCTGTAGTTCGGTGTTTGTCGTTTGTTCATATCCGTCATATTTGTTTTTCGTAAATTGATTTGTTATAAATTAGGCCGTTAGTTTTCTCAATTGAATTGTTTCATATTTTTAATGTCGGGCCTTTTATATCCGTATACGGAATGGGTTTTTCTCATTATTGAAGACCTTACGGTTGCCTATAATTGCTTACATCCACTTCATTTGAACTTTGGTGTATAGTTGTCTCATTGGCAATCATACCACATCTCCTTATTTTTATATTATGCCACTGGTATCTCCAAAAGACAACAGCATAGTTTGGCATGACCTTGGCTATATGAGTAGACAATAGATCTATATCTATGGTGTATAACACAAAATGAGGAGAGAATATCCAACACAACTGTAATTCCATGATATTGGAGTCTAATACATGAAACATATTGTTTCCTCACGTTCTTAACGTTAGACTAGTTGAGCTTTTTAAACTGATATAAGCACCTCTCTGTAACATTTGACATGTGACTTTATTGCTTTTTCAGATAGGATTGACGAAACATGTCACCGAAACTTGTTATAATGTTGTAATTAGTTTTTTAATGGCAAAAGACCTCAAATTCAGACATTCTCTTTCTCTTAATATATTTTAAAGAAAACCAAAAAGTACTAAACAATCGATTGAATGTAATAAATTCTAGCACGAGACTAAATGATATTCCTTAACATTTATCGACAAGATATTATTGTCAAAATATAAATAACAATTAGCATAAGACACCGAACCAATTGTATCAATACAAAAAAAGTTCTCCTTGGGACAGTTCGCGCACGAGGTTAATAAAAAATGACAAGTTAAGGACGAACGAGGTAAGAAGTCACTCGATCTGAAAGCTATTGGTAAAACTTAACCCCTGCAAATATATCATTCGCTCCGGGAAGGTATCTCGTACCGTAATTACTTATTGTTAAAATAGAATGATTTTTTTTTCAGATCTGAGGATTTTATCCACTTAACAATCTTTTTTATATGCTGCAATCAAATATTACTGATTATTTAGAATACGACATCAACCTTTAACACCACTGGAACAGCTTTTTGCACATTCGAGTCACTTCAAATTTCAACAAACCAGAAGTATAGATTTTGTACCACGACAAAATAATGACAAATTTTAATTCATTTGTATGATTATCAAAGTACCAATCATTTAAACCTGTACATTAAAACTCAGAACTTTTACATCCAAACTGCATTCGAAAATAAATTAATAAAAGAAAAATATACTGTTTAATATTCTTTCTTAAGAAGCTAAAAAGGCTTAAAAGAAGTATAGCAAAAAAAGGAACTCACCAGGTGCCAGTCATCTTCTCTCTCTCTGTAAAAAGAAGTACAAAGTTATTACTATTATCGCTTAATATTAATTTATTGATATAATTGCCCGGTTTCATGACGCTTGAAAATGTATTACATATATACAAAACCTAACATGTACGTATTATACGCCCCCAAAGTGGCGACGATATTCCACATTATTATTACTTATTTTTATTTGAATTTAGTGCTTTTTTCATACTTATTTGTTGTCTTTTTCGTTTAGTTTAGTTTTATTATTGCAACATATCGGACGTTTCGAGTCTATATAAGAGCTATCAATTAGTCAAATCGACCAGAGCATTTAAATGAGTCGTTAATTCTTCGGATTCGACATGGATATATTTCGTTATTTCTTTCAAAATGCAATAAAAAATGATGCATAGATAAATTATTTATAAATAAACCAATAAATAAATGATTTTGGGAACATAAAAAGTACGCTTTATAGCGCAAGTGTGAACGATCAATTATAAATCAAAATGAACTGAAAAACTATAATCGTCTTTTTATTTAATTTTTTTTTATTATTAACCCTTTTCACGTTTTCAAAAATATCAAATTAATATCTCGATTTTTTTAGCTCAAAATCCGGGCATTTTGCTTTACATTTTGCGTTGATATGAACAAACGGTTCCGTTATGATCCGATTGAAGTTGGTGCGACAATGACTATATAAATATTCTTTTTATTAAAAAAAATATAATCTCTTGCTCGGCTCATTAAAGGGAAATTAATATTTCTTAATGATTTTTAACACAGGGAATACGGATAGAATGATCATATGATGACTTTGACGGACGAACATCCAACACATCAGCTGGTTTCGTCTTGTTAATGATACCGGATTGCTCTCAGGATATGCATTGTGTCTGACACATAATTTTCGTGAAACTATTGTTTACGAAGACACGTGCAGGAACAACGTTATCATAATCATAAGAATCAGCGATTACTACCCTGTTCTGTTGAGAATCATATAAAACGAAAACAGCGGCATGTAATTTAATTACATAAAGGAATGGAAATCAACATTGAATATTCATATAAACGGTCATAATTGTAAATAAATTAAGGTTTTTTTTTAATATTTTTAAAAATATGACGATAGAATATAAATAAATTGTAAATTAATGCTTTACGCTCTCTCTAGTCAAAGTACTTAAACTCATATTATCTGTCTGCAGTTTGTAAATTAGTTAAGCAAAATTATAGCAAACATTAGAACCCTACAAGATTATAAATCAAGAAAGAGTATTCGATATTTTCTGTTAGAGAAGAAAAGAATTATCTACCACTTACCATGGTTGTTCTGACAAGTTTCCATTAAATTATTTGTCAAATGATAATCTCCTAGATTTCTAACCTTTATAACTTTAATATGGAAATTATTGTACAATTCCGAGTGACAAATTTCATAAGTGTTCACTAGGGTGAAAAAGGCATCTTATCTTCTTTTTCCGGAAAAATGAACATATTGCTCCCAATGCGATCAAAAATTAGAATAGTCAGAAATTAGCAGTGAAATCAATGCCAATTGGTAAGGGAGATTTGATGGTTGTTTTATTGATATATTACCGTTATTAACCTCTCGTAAGCAGTGTACAAGATTAGAAAGGAAACCAATTTGTAATAAATTAATGTATAAATCTTATGATTATTGTTTTGTAGACTTAGTTTGATGATACCCATGTAATACAGTGGTTGGTACATTGTGTATGCTAGATTGTTTACTCAGTTTAGTTTTTTGCACTGGTATATGACTAGAAAAGGAATGATTGTACTTAACATAAACATGACAAAGGTCGAGAAGTCTTTTTTTTTCAAATACAATTTTTAAGACGAGGAACAGCAATGATAACGCCCTTTCTTTGATATATTTGTTTCTTTTTTTTTGTTTGTCATGGGCTTGGTACGTCATGTATGTACACCGCATAACCATTCTTACGCCGGATAAATTATAGTATTAATGTATGAGTTTTTTTAACACATTCTTAAAGGTAGTTTATATTTGGAACATTTTAAAAGTATTTTGATAGTTGAACCAAATTAAGGTACTCCTACACGACAGAAATTATTTGTTATAGTTGAATAAGTCAATACAATTCCTTTGATATTGTACTTTTAAGATAAACACATGCCCACTATAAAAAAATTTTTTTATGTAATTATTATAATAATAGCAATAGGAAATTCATCAACTTTGTGGTGTATTGACGAAAAAAAAAGCAATGGGAAATGTCGTCAAGAAAAAAACCAGTATTCATAAAATTTGAAATACGCTAAAATAAAATTACAAATAAACAAACTGTAAAATTCAGTTAAAAATGGCCTAACTTATCAGGTCGGCACGAAGCAAAACAAAAAAAAGTCCAACTAACATAAAGGCAAAAAAGAACACAGTACTGATCTAAGCGTGTTCACAGTTACTGAAAGCTATACGAATAAGGAGATTTGGTATGATTTCCAATGAGACAACTCCCCACCAGAGACCAAATGACGTAGAAGTTAGCAATTATATGTCACCGTACGGCATTCAGCAATGATCAAAACCCATACCGCATATCCAGCCAAAAAACGCCCCTAAATGACAGATAAAATTAATGGCCTGATTTATGTACAAAACAATAAACGAAAAGAAAATGTAATATACTACAACAAACGACAACCACTGATTTACAGGCTCAAGACTTGGGACAGGCATGTGGTGGGGTTAAACTAGTTCAACTAATGATCAGTACACATCCAACGGATTTAGTGTACAGACACCATAAACAGAGTGAGAAAAGCATGATCTTGTGCAATATCAAAATAAATGTACATTGTATCAACGGGATGTAGGATCATATTTCATAACTTTATCACAAGTTGTTTTATTTTATCAAAAACAAAATCAATGTTAGTACATATATAAACAATATTCAAAGATCTTACTACGAACGTGTTAAGTTGATATACCTTGAGGGTTTATTCAAAGGATTATCAAAGTTATATGAATTATTTCTAAATTTTTGGGTTTTATAAACAAAGTTACCATAAAATTTAAGAAGTGCTATACCGTTTGTTATAAGAATTTTGAAGATACAGTCAAACTTCCAAACATAATCTTTGTATCTATGAAAAAAATGTTAAAAGTTTTCACTTATTTTGGTAACGGAATCCCTGACTCACTAATTGTTTTACCACTTATAAACAGATTACGTTCATTGAAATATTAAACGTCATTAGACGGGCATATGGAAAGAACAGGCTTATTATTGACAAAAATATGGTGGTTGGGCCTCAATGCCAAGTGGTCTTCAAGCTTTGTCCAAAACATCTGAATCTTCAGACTTTCACCACTGAAATAGTGGTTTGAAAATTGTTCCCTTTATTCGAAAACAATGATATGGTGGACCCAATCTGTAAGTTCTTGTATATAATAAAATTGTTGGATACTCGATGAAGGTCGATGATGTACATAGCTAGGGCATACCGATTTCCGCCACAGATAAAACTGAATGCTTGGGTAGATAGTTATTGTTCTAGTACTAGCAGTATAAGACGAAAAACAGTAGTACTAGTAGGGAAAGTAACAGTTAACATGGCGGGATAATAGGAGTAGCGGCAGTAACAGCAGAAATAATAGTAGTAGGGAAAGTAACAGTTAACATGGCGGGGATAATAGTGATGGCAGTAACAGCAGAAATAATAGTAGTAGGGAAAGTAACAGTTAACATGGCGGGATAATAGGAGTAGTGGCAGTAACAGCAGAAATAATAGTAGTAGGGAAAGTAACAGTTAACATGGCGGGATAATAGGAGTAGTGGCAGTAACAGCAGAAATAATAGTAGTAGGGAAAGTAACAGTTAACATGGCGGGATAATATGAGTAGTGGCAGTAACAGCAGAAATAATAGTAGTAGGGAAAGTAACAGTTAACATGGCGGGATAATAGGAGTAGTGGCAGTAACAGCAGAAATAATAGTAGTAGGGAAAGTAACAGTTAACATGGCGGGGATAATAGGAGTAGCGGCAGTAACAGCAGAAATAGTAGTAGTAGGAAAAGTAACAATTAACATGGCGGGATAATAGGAGTAGTGGCAGTAACAGCAGAAATAATAGTAGTAGGGAAAGTAACAGTTAACATGGCGGGATAATAGGAGTAGCGGCAATAACAGCAGAAATAGTAGTAGTAGGGAAAGTAACAGTTAACATGGCGGGATAATAGGAGTAGCGGCAGTAACAGCAGAAATAGTAGTAGTAGGAAAAGTAACAATTAACATGGCGGGGATAATAATAGTAGTGGCAGTAACAGCAGAAATAGTACTAGTAGTAAAGACAGCAATAAAAGTAGAAGTTGTTGTTCGTAATAGTAGTAGATGTTGTTGTCAGTAATAGTAGTAGAAGTTTTTGTTGTTGCTAGTTATAGAAGTATAAGTTGTTGTTGTCAGTAATAGTAGTAGATGCTGTTGTCAGTAATAGTAGTAAAAGTTGTTGTTGTCGTTAGTAATAGTAGTAGAAGTTGTTGTTGTAAGTAAGTCTTAGAAGTTGCTGTTGTTGTTAGTAAAAATAGTAGGAGTTGCTGTTGTCGTTAGTAACAGTAGTAGAAGTTGCTGTTAGTAATAGTAGTAGAAGTTGCTGTTGCTGTTAGTAATAGTAGTAGAAGTTGATGGTGTCGTTAGTAATAGTAGAAGTTGTTGTTGTAAGTAAAAGTGTTAGAAGTTGCTGTTGATGTTAGTAATAGTAGTAGAAGTTGCTGTTGTTGTTGTTAGTAATAGTAGTAGAAGTTGCTCGTGTTGTTACATTTAGTTATAGTAGTAGAAGTTGCTGTTGTTGTTAGTAATAGTAGTAGAAGTTGCTGTTTTCGTTAGTAATAGTAGCCGAAGTTGTGTTTGTTGTCAGAAATAGCAGTCCCAGTTGCTCGTATTGTTAGTAATAGTAGTAGAAGTTGCTGATGTTGTAAGTAAAAGTAATTGTTATTTTTGCTGATGTTGTTGCAGTAGTATTGGTAGACGTAATAGTA